CACATTATAAGACACTTAAATCACGCTTTCTCATTCTGATGCTCAGTTTGAACCTCAGCAGATCGCCTGGAGCATGCTTACGTGCCCAAATGCACTGAGTTGCTGTCATATGATTGGCTCACCATATATTCGTGTTAGGGCGCATAAGAGTAGGCGTACCTAATAAAGTGGACGAATATAGGAGTGTATGTATACTGTAGTAGGGTAGCATGGCATGACAAATAGTCTGTAACTCGTGCATTATGATTTTCTCTCACTGAATTCCATTCAGCTGAGATCCTCCACTTCACAAGTATTTCCACTGGACAAAACGATGTTGCTCTGACATCAGACATTTTTTTAAAAATTTTTTGCATATGTTTTTCTGTGCTGTTACATGTGCTGTTATCCAGCAGCAGCCTTTTTGGTTTGTTTTTTTGTGCACATGTTAGGAAGAAAACTCTAATTGCTTTACAGAAACCACATGGCTTTGAATACTTGCCTAAAGTAGAAAAACTCCCTTTTTCTTGTTTTTTTCTGCAATTGCTGCAGCTCAGCGGCTCGGACTTTGCAGAGAACTTTTTTTCTTCTTTCCTTGCTGTCTCGGCTGAGGAATTAAGTGTAATCTGAGTCAATATTTATGCATTAATCACCCTGCTGGAATTCCGAGGCGGCTGCACATTCAAACGTGCTCTCGAGTGAACTCATGAATGTCCGTGCTGCTTTCAGGCTTGGACTCCTGGTTCCAGCAGGAGTTTCTTGCTTGCCTTAGTTGATAACGAACAGTACGATCCCTCCAAAATACAGTGCAGATTTTTTTTAAAAAGAAATAATAAAAATAAAAAAGGACCCGACAACTTTAACAGAGGGGTAGGAAGAGAGAAAGAGAGAGAGGGAGAGAGAGAGAGAGAGAGAGAGAGAGAGAGGAAAGAAAAAAATAATAACGTCTGGCAACAGTCGATATTAAAAACATGCAGAGGGAGACAAGCTCGGGGCCTTCCAGAGTCAGGAAAAAGACTTCGGAGAGCTGCAGACGGGAGATGGGTATGGCATTTGTATTTTCCCCCTGCCCAATGATTTGTATATGAAAACATAGCGCTTTTATTCTCCCCCCTTCTGGGCTCTGCTTCTGAGTGATCAGCTGATGAAGAGACTAGCAGCTCGCCGCTATGCTGGCTTGCTAATTCTCTCCCCCACAGCTGCAGCCGATCCCGATAACCAGCCTGCAGATTGCAGTCAGGTAAATATCCTCCTCCATGTCTTTTCTTCACAGGCTCAGGATTCAGCCAGGGTACATCGCATGGGAAGAGAGGAAGAGATGGATAAAATGTGTGTGTATGTGTGTGTGTGTGTGTGTGTGTGCGCGCACGCCAAGGAAAGAGAGAGAGTGTATGCGTGTGTGCGCGCGCGCGTGTGAGTAAGAGGCAGGGAGAGAGAGTGTGTAGGTGTGTGTTGTAACAGATGAGAGGGAATCTTTGCCAGATTAGTCAGGGAAGAGGCAGGCTTGTTAGGAGATAGCACAGGCATGGAGCATCACATGCACACTCTGACACCCTTCCACTCCACATGCACAGTCAATCAGGCAGCTCTCAGCTGTGTTATACATCTTTGAGGATTACCCTCTATCCCTCCAGTATTCCGCTGGAACGATTGCTTCCCCTTAGAGGGAGTAGCGGGGCTTTTCAAAGCCTACATTTGAGCCCCGAACAATGATGAGCAGGATTTCTATTGTTGTCTCTAGTGCTGTTGTCTCCTCTAAGTCAGCTTCTGCTATGTCTTTTTTATGGTTGGAAGTGCAGGCATGTATCTTCAGTCCTGTTTTTTTTTTTTTTTTTCCATTTTTTCTAATTCTGCATGGCACCGTTCGCTGCTCCTTGGATCAGTGTGTGTTAAATATCTCAAGTTTGCGTCCTTGAGAGATCAGCAGGCGTGCTGTATTATATGATGTGAAGGCTGATGTGTGTACTGTATGATCCTGTATTATTGATGCATCAATATTCTGTTCAGATTGGACAGCATGCCCTCTCTACCCCCCCCCCCTCCAGCTGCTGCTGCTGCTGCAAGAGCTGCTTGTGCTGCATGCACACTCACTCTTGTTTCTGGCCTCTAATTGCCTTTGTGGAAAACACAGTGGTCGCTGCATAATCGAAAAGGAGCGGATGAAACGGTTGAACATAACTCGGGATGCTGCACGCACCCTTGTCAAACACCACACACCTAAAATAATGATTCCGGCTCTCTTTTTTCTCTCTGTCTTGCATGCACAAGGCTGAGTGCAAAGCAGCAAAATATAGATTCATATTTATGGCACAATGGCATTTTTAGACTCTGTGCTTTGACAGAAAAGGGCTTCCTCGAATCCATTCCGACTCGTCGTGCATTAAAAAATAAGCATCCCCTCGATAATCATCTCACATCAAAGCCCACAGATCAAATAATCTGTCCTAAATTTGCAGAGACGGCACTGGGTTGCTTCAGTCCATGTAAATTCAGATGCTATTGTAATAAATAAATGAGTCCTGATTCATTTGAATACAAAACCATGCTCTGTAATTCCAAATGCCTGAATTCCAGCTCCTAATTAGATGGAGACTTAGAGTGCTTTAATTTGGAGGTTTTAAATTTAGAATCTGCAGTTTGTCGTCTTAAGCGCTTCAGGTTTGCGTCTGGGAAAAACACGTACTATGCGTTTTCCCGAGAGCTTTGACATGAAAATCAAAGAGGCCAAGTTAGAATAAACAGAAAATAGAAGTTTTGAAATGAACTCTTTCCTCCCATTCTCTAGCAAATATTCTCTCTCCTCCTCACAGTCTTTGTGTTGCTGAAGTAGGAACTAAACAAAAAGAAAATACATGTGCATTTACAAGATTTCCCCACCCACAGCTCGAGGCAAGAGAGAACGGTTCTCTAGAGGACATGGAGGAGGACATCAGTCTGAAGAAGCGTAAAGGTGATCATCAAGCAGTGAAAGACCTGAAGGCTGGGCAAGAAACTGGCGAGAAAGTCAAAAGGAAGCGAGGGCGCCCACCAGCTGAGAAACTCCCTCCAAATCCACCTGAACTCACCAGAACACTGAACACACTGGTGGATATGGTCATGAACTACAAAGATGGGTGAGGGATGTGAAAGACGTTTGGGCTGTGTCAAAAAAGTCACTATTTTTAGATCTCTTTTTAATTACAAAAAATGAATATAATGTTTTATTTGATAATATTAACCTTTTGATGAGCATGATCTCATTCATACTGATTGATTTTAGTTTTTTTCCATGTAATCTATATTCATTATGCATAAATTTAAATATTTCAAGCTTTTTTGATTTTATTTTGACTATTATGGCTTATACCGCATCAGTGTGGTACGACATGGAGGTGATCAGCTTGGGGCACTGCTGAGGTGCGACTGAAGCCCGGGTAGCTTTGACAGTAGGGCTTAGCCTGTATTAGGTGGTTCTCATCTTCTGTTTGACGAAACCTCATGTATTCTACGAGCAATTGGGAAATAGATTTGGGCCTGTGCTGCCAAGTCCTCCTGGAAAAGGAAAACCAGATCCCCTTCAAGCTTATGAGTAGATGGAAACATGAAGTGGTGTAAAAATCTCCTGGTAGACACCTGTGTTGACTTTAGCCTTGATAAAATACAGCAGACAGACTGCAAACTTTGCACTAGCCACCTTGGATTCAGTGGCTTTTCACGCTTTCTCCAGACTCTAGGGCCTCAATTTCCAAATGAAATGCGGCATTTTCTTTTCATCTGAAAAGATGACCGTGGGCCACTGAGCAACGGTCCGGTTCTTTTTCTCCTTAGCCCAGGTAAGACGTTTGTGATGCTGTATCTGGTTCAGCAGTTGGCCGATGTCAAGAATGCAACAGTTGTAGCCCCTTTCCTGAAGAAAGTCTTTGCATAGTGGCTCTGACTCTCTTTGTGAAGCTCTCCCAAGTTCTTGTATAAACTTTTCCATTAATATACTTTAGTACAGCACTTTGTATATAGCAACCCCTTTTCACTAATCACCTTCTGTGGCTTACCTACCTTGTGGAGGGTGTTGATGATTGCCCTCTGACAACTGTGAAGTCAGCAATCCTTCCTGTGACTGTGGCATTATGTACTGAACTCAAATGAGACATACACACTATTTAAACTCTAAGAAAAAGATTCTGTTAATCTAAGGTACTGGACTTCCGATTTCCGTGAGCTATAAGCCATGATCATCAAAATGAGAACAAAAAAGGCTTGAAATATTTCACTTGTGACAAATAGAGAACACATGTAGATTCTAAAATTACATTTGTTGAGATGGTCTTATAGCAATTCCTACAAAACTGTACACCTGATTACAGCTTAAAGGGGACCTGTTATACCCTATTAGACAATTTTTTGTATAATGAAGTCAGCATATGTGTAAGTAATCCCAAAGGCTAAAGCTCAGGGTTCAGTATAAACACACTCAGAGTTTTCAGCTCTTTGTGTTTGTATGGTGTCAAAGCGAGGGGATATCCCTGATGCAGTCATTTCAGGCACTCAGCTCCGAACGTAGGCCCAGTGGCCCCCACCCACCTGCTGTTCAAACCTTCTGTTTGCGAGGAACAGCCAGCCAGAACAAAGCTGGTTCAAAGGAAGCGGCCAAAATAGTTTAGTTCATACAGTGAATAAACTGTGGTACTGCACCAGGGTCTAGGATGAAGCTACTGTAGCTGAATTCAAGACTAGAAATACGGAATTAGAAATGACCGTAGTAGGTCCCCTTTAAAACTGATTGATTAAGGGATTCTTTTGATATTATCATTACTATTAAAAGTATTATATTTAAGTAAATTGGTCTATCCAGGGACAACAGCACTGTAGTGCAATGATTAGTTCTGTTGCCTCAGCAAGAAGCTAGCTGGACCTTTCTGTATGATGCATGATCTTTGCATTGCAGAAAATGGATGGATGGATGGATGGATTGTGCAGTGGGATATTTTAACAAGAGAGTTTTAACAAGAGAGTTTTTTAGCCTAGCGACTCAGTGAGGAACCAGAACACTTATTTCTCTCACCCCCTGCTGCTGGATTGAAGCAGAAGTCAAAAATTTCAGCTTTAAACATTTTGCGAGTCTAACCTAATACCTCACAGGGATTTCAGGGAAACCTGCCTTAAAAATCCCAGTGCAGCTACTCACTTTGTCAAGTTTTGAATGCTGAACATTGAATCAATCAGCAGTTTATTTTGGGATTGTGCCTCCTTCATAATTTAGTCATGAAAAGACATTGTATGTAAGTGTGGACTGCAAGAAAACATTATCAGGAATAAGAAAACAAAATGTCTTACAGAAATTGACAGAATAATTAAACATTTTTCCTATTGTCACGAGATTAAAAGAAACATTGTGTTTCTAGGTTGGGACGGCAGATCAGTAAAGGCTTTGTGCAGCTTCCCTCTAAGAAGGAGGTACCTGAGTACTACGAACTGATCCGAAAGCCTGTGGACTTCAGAAGGATCAGGGTTTGTGTCACTGAATACCCTCACAACTCCGACACAATACAGATTTCACTGTTACCTTTTCTACGAAGATAAAATTGAATGAAAAGGGGGTGAACCATAATACATCAATGGCAAGTGGGAGTCTGTATTCAGTATTCAAAACCTTCATTCAGTAAACAGTGATCAAGAGGACTTAACTAGAGCTTAGGTATACTATATAATACAAATATGTCAATGTATTTTAAATACACATGGGTTGAACAGAAAGAGCCTTAATATTTTTATGCTTAACAGACTCCACAAAACTAGAACTTTTCTATTTATCGCCATTGTAAGAGCTAAACGCTAGCATGTTTCTATTAAGCTGATGGTTTAGCACGTAGGTTTACCATGTTCCCCCCCATCATCCTTACAGTCAGACTGTAGAAAAGACAGCATGTGGTGTAAAAATGTTGTTGTTGTTTTTAATTAATGTAATACACACATAAAAACAACCAACAAAGGCCAACTACACACTAAAGTTCAAGTCAGTTGATTTTTGAGGATTAGAAAAAACAAATGTTGTACATATAAACAGGCTCATTTATACCCAATGTTGTTGCAATTACTTATTATCAACAGATTAGTGCCTCCAATAAGCTGACAATAAGTTGACTTAACAACAACAGCTGGTTATCAGCTAACCTTATGCCAGCTAATGTTAGGCTCGAATGTCCCAAAAATCAAACGTTGCCTCTGACAAACAGTTTGATTTCGTTCTCGCAGCGTAGGAGAATTTATTCACTAAGTGTCCAAGTCCGGCAATGTTACATCCACTTCAAAGAAACTCGTACTTACAATGGCTAACAGCAGCTAACAGAGGCTAACAACAGCAAAAACGGCAGCACTTAGCGACAGAAAAGTTCAGGATATTCTCAACAACTCACCTCAGTATCGCCGTCATTGGACAGAAGTTAGCTTAACTGAGTCATATTGGACTCCTTTTGTAAAGCTTTACACCCTCCTCCAAATTTAACAGACATGGACACATACTGACAGCTGAGGTCAGTGAGTGTAGGGTGTAGGCTGACACCCTACACTCCGTACAGATGGCGACCAGACTTGTTTGTCCTACAACAGCCACCATAGCTAGATTTATGCACTTGGGAGAGGTAAGAAAACATAATTCAGTTGACTGCAATGTGCAATCTACTGACATCTAGTGGTGAGATTTTATACACTGCACTAACTCCAGAATATCACTTTGCCAGCCAAAATGTAGTTTCAGCACCAAACTTCCCATAAAGTCACAACCTGTTGTGTCTACATTCTGGCTTTGCTGCAAAAAGATTAACAGTAGTCATGTGACATGTGACGGTGCTGGTAGCTATTTTGTTACCTTCTCCGTTTGTTTGAGGTCTTAATGCTAAGATGACTGACAAGTCTAATTTCTTATCTAGTGTACAGACTTGAAGTGAGTGAGTTTTTTCTCATTTAATTCTCAGCAAAAAACTGAATAAGTGTGTTTTAGAAAAGTTCAGGAGACAATCAAGTATCTTTGTATTTTTGTCCTTTTTTAAAAAATTAAATAATGAACCAAATTAGTTTATAGTTTTATTGTTGTTGTTATTTGTCTGTTTTTATTACTGTATTTCATAGGAACGTGTTCGCAATCACAAGTACAGAAGTGTGGGAGATCTGGAGAAGGACATTTTCCTTCTGTGTCACAATGCTCAGACTTATAATCTGGAGGGATCACAGGTGAAGGGATTTCAGGAGGAATTCTTTCATTCACAAGCAGCAAAATAGTTTTTCTCCACGGTTCCTGTTATAAAAACTCTGATCGCGTGTGTATGTGTGTGTGTGTCTGTGTTTGTGTGTGTAAATCACTGCAGATCTATGAGGATTCTATTGTCATTAAGTCTGTTTTTGAGAGTGCGAGACAGAGAATCGTCACAGATGAAGAACAGAAAGAGACGGTTAGCGCCAGTCACAGCAATAATGGCGGTGGAGCTGAAGACCAGTTTGTTCCATCAGCAGGTGAGGGCTGTGTTTTAATAACTAGGGTGAATGGAGAAAAAGGAGTAACATTTTTGTTTGTCTGCAGTAGTGTTTTGTATTAGACTTATCATATATTTCTTTCCCTTTTTATAACCAGTGAAACCATTACCAGTTCAGATCAAGAAGGGGGCTAAGGAGCAGAGAAGCAGAAATACTATGGCCAAGAGGGTTCACAGTGATTTAGACAGCGATGAGGATCTAGAGGATAACACCACAAAAGATGAAGGTTGAACTAAAAGACCCTGCTCTTTTTGTATCCTTGTCCATGTCTATTCTCTGCCACATCCCTTTTCATTGGTTTCTTTATGTTGTTGTGTTTTTTTTAATTAAAAGAAAGCTCTTTGAAAATAACCGTGAAAGGACTCCTCAGTGTGAAGCACTTATAAAACAGTGCTTGTTTTTTAGATGACTCACATCACTCAAACACATCTTGCTGCACAGTGCTGTTCTTCTCATTTAGCTGGTCTTTTATAAGAATTATGATTTACGTTTTATCTGCTTTAGTCCCCGTGATAGCTTCTGCAGATATAATGTAAAGCACCAGTTTCATTGACTGTTTTTAATCAATATATTTGATTGTATGAAATGCCTTCATATGTCTTTGGAGCATGATATGTATCTCTGTCCTGAAGCTGGCTCCTCCAGAGGAAAACCTGCTGATGATGATGTGTTCAGGGCCAGGGCATCGAAGCACACAGGAAGGTCCGTTTAATGAATCGGAGATGAGCAAATTAGATTTGTTTAAAGTCTCTGAATGTGATTTTTAGAGTGGATACAAGTAAAAAGACATGTGACAAATACTGGTAGTATGCCTTTTGTTTGTTTCTGATACTTGATGGAATAAGTTTGGATCTAACCAGGGGTACTTAAGTCAAACATTTGTATCCCTTGTGCTACAGTATATTCACATATTGTACAGTTTGTGTGAAAAATAACAAAATTTCTTTTCATTTACTCTCCTACTATTTGGGGAGGATGAAAGACATCATTGTTAAGACAATCCCTCAAAAACCTGTATCACTTAAACACTTGCAAAATAAATTTTACCAAAAAGTCCCACTGGTTGGTATCGATTATTTTTAACCCGGTGAGCAGAACGAGATGTTAAAATGTTTATGTATTTGAACTGTATATAAAGAATCTGCCAATAGATGGTGCAAGAGAACCGTTTGTCTGGATCTTTGTCTATACAGAGACAGAATTCATTGAAATATACATTGTACAATATCATGTAGCAATTTAAACAGTATAAGAAATAAATGCAAAGAAATGTGATATATGCTAAGTTTATATTTACATGTAGTGCAATTTAATGTTATTATTATAGCGCCAAAAGTGCTTTATATTATTAGGTAAAGAGCTTACAATAGCGTACAGTAATATAGAGAAAACCCTAAAAACCAAATTTTGCACTTTTTCATCAATAGTTTCTTTAAAATTGTGAGATGGACAGTGGATTTATGACTGGCATGCACAAATTGCACAAGCTCTTAGCTCTCTTGCCATATGTGCTCATGGAACCAGGTATAGCTGACGGTAAATTGTGATCAACAGCTCTAGCATATGCTTCAGTCATGTTCTCCAGTGTTACAGCAGTTACATATGGGCCCATCTGTGGCAGTGTCACAGCCTATCTGTGCCCACCCAGTCGCTCATCTTGAAGACGTTCAATTCGTGTTATTTAGAAAAGATAAACAGCAAATAAACATAAATAGCATAGAAGCCTTCACTGATTTACTGTATATGTTGAAATTTACCCTAGAAAGAATTTCAAGGCTTTAGACGCAAAGCTGGGAGCTCTCATGCAGAAAGTTAGACTGATGCAGGCTCATATCTGTTGAATAAACCAAAGAAAATTGAAGTTAAACAGCTACTCACTGCTCACCAAACTCAATGATCAACTCCATATGTTTTCATGTAACCCATAAACAAACAGAAAACAAAAAGTAGTGCTTTTCTGTGTCGTATTACATTAATCTGTTTCTTCATCTTCTGCCTGTAGTTTCATTAATACAAATAAAAAAAAATTCTAATTCTTTCATATTGATTTAGGCAGATTAAGGTTCTTTAAAGATCAGGCTGCATCTCTTTAGCTTGTATGTTCTGCTTCCTTTGCCAACCACCACTTTATATTACCTATGCTGTTTTGCACTGTGAAGCAAAAAGGAAAGTTTTAAGTTTATATGAACCACTTTAATTCAATTATACGCCCTTAAAATGAACAAAACAGCCAACATGGAAGTACCAAAAGTTTAGTTCCACTAATTACCACTTCATGCTGTTTAGTAAAGTAAGTCAGTCCTCATTTCTATAGCTTATTTCTTTTACCCCCAGCCATTTGTCTGGTGTTAGTTGACAAGTTAGCGCTCCAACAAATCACTGAAGGCTTCACGTCAGCAGTCCCCAAACCAACGGGTTACATCACACAAATATATCTGCATATTTAGTGTGTAGTGTCCATCGAGCTCGTTCGGTAAAAGCTACAAAAAGTTAATGTTTGCTATGTGAAATCATTTGCTCTTCAACATTTAATAAATTGGAAGGTGTCAGAAGTACAAAGCTTTTTGCAGGTACTTACAGATTAACAACATCCTCAGAGCAGCTAAAAGGCGTAGGCTCTTACAATAAATAGCTCTGGGAACAAAATGGCACATAGGACTATATCTTTGTGATGAAAACCTCACAGAAAATTACACATAAACCTAATGGAAGTGTAAGGATAGAGATATTGCTGAAGGTAGCTGCGCTAATGGTTTTATCAAATTAGCGCAGCTCCAGAAGGTGACTTTAATCTGTTGAGAAGACAATCTGTTTTTTTTTTTTTTCCTTTACCCACAGGACACCGATTTAACAGATAGAGTGATCCACATTTATCATAGCTTTCACTAATCGCCTGTTGTATAAGGTAACTGCATTTAATATCATTGTGCTCACTGTAAAAAAATGTTCTGTCAACATCAGCGCCTTTAAAATGAAGTTGGATCATTTTGAAATTCTCGTCATTTGCGTGACACATTTTGTTTGGTTTTTTTTCTGCCTCATAAACTTTGAACGCTGTCAGAATGCTGACAGGTGGATTTTAAACATACCATATAAAAATATCTGCTGCCAACTTTCCCAGTATATAGAAAATGATTTCATTCATCTAACACCGCTGCTGTTTCAAGGAAAAATGTGATATTACTGCACACAGCAGCGTGAACAGTAACGATCTGAATGTAAACGTTAGTAGCACCTTTATTGTTTTTCCTTTGCTGATGGTGCAGTTCTCTGGTTCACAGAGTACAAATAGTAACTTTAAATTTGTGATCTCAGAAAGCTTAACTTGGTATTGTTTTAGCATTAACTTGTGCAAAAACATTTCAGCCATTAACAGCAATCCCACCCAGTGTAGCATATTGTTCTTAAATAACATAACAAATGAAAATGACAGACTGAAAAATTTTTGAGACTCTAGACCAAATTGTTACTTGACCCCTTTTTAAGGAAAGCAGTGCAATCGGGAACTTTTTGTAGCTTTAGAAGAGACTTCCTCACTGCTGAGCTGATCCACTCACCTTAAGTAAACTGCTCCAGTTTTTTCTTTCTTTCACTTTTGACGAGTGTTTGATCCTGCTGATAGTTTTCTTCTGTGTCAGTCTTGTTTTGAGTCATTACCGTTCTACAGGAGCAATGACCTTAGACAGGAATGAACTCTCCAACACTACCAGAATTTTTCATCCCTGAATGCCTTGATAATTTTCTAATATAATTGTGCTTTTCAGCAATTCAAGGCACATAATGCAACCCCAGTACACCATTAAATGTTTCCTTTTGCAGCTTTATTAAAATGATCTAAATTTAAAGTATGTATGACTAAAACTAGACTAAAATGAAAATATAGTTTTTATTGAACTTAATAAGAGGACATTCTGCAAGAAGCATTGTGACTTGACAACATGCATTTTAGCAAACTTTAGTTATTCTTACCATTAAATAGAAAATCTGAAGTACAGTGTAATATTATAAGAATTGCACATCTCCTTCACAAACCTGAATGATAGTAATTATTATATAATGATTTAACTCGAAAGACCTTTTCCAAGGTCCACTTGTTATTGAACACTGCAATTTAGTATACCTGTGGTATTCATCAACCTGCTGGCTCTTCACCTGTGGTCTAAAAAGATGACTCACTGGCTTTTTATTAGACTTTTCAAGGTAAGACTTTATCTGTTAATCTAGTCATGTGTGCCTGGCTGTAAAGCAGGTATTTATTCGCATCTGTCATTTCAAATTCCACATATACAATATTTGTGGTATGAGAAACTTGTTAAAAAAAAGGTTAAGGTTAAGTTCACCTTAAGTCTGCCAGCTGGTGCATATGTGCAGTTGGTGGATTCTAATGTAAAGTACCTTTGGACAAATCCCGGTCACAAAAATTAGCAGGTAAACAATTGTAGGGACCCACGCAGTTACATTTGATCATATAACTGGTCTTTGATTTATTATAAATGTTACTAGGGACACATATCATATCACAACATCACTGCAAAACAAGCACCAAAACCTGCTCAGGAAACAACCCACTCTCTTAGCCTCTATAGAGTATTGAATTCATATGTAAAATGTGAATTTTGATATTAAATTGCAGCAACATTGCGTGTGCACAAAAGGAATTCAAGGAAACTCCAAACTGTAAACAGGGTCTATAAAATCAAGGCAAATCAGAGGACCAGTCAGGGTTCCAGACAATGTCACCTGCAGTGTTAAAGATTTTCCATTAATCCCTTACTCACAGTAGTTCTTATTGGCAGAAGAAGAAATACAATAGTTATTCAGCCGCTTCCACATAATGCTCATTCAAGCCATTATACTCTTACTGTTTATTGACTGGTATGGAGTTCATTATTATTTACTGCCTAGCGGTTGGAATGAAATTCATGTAAGGTAAATGTGTAGGTGGCACCTTATGATTTTTGCCATTACCAAAATGAAAGCAGAGATGAACAGTCTTAGTCTGTCCTTTCCGTCTCTCACTTATTTTAAGATCCCTACCATAAACATTATCTATATGGAGAGAAAGCAGAAAGTAGCTAATTGTTGTGGCAATGTTATTTTCTTCTTCTTTATTGAATCATTTTTGAACCCTTTTTTAAATAAGACGCAACAGTGGATGATATAAATAATATATTGAGTTTAAACTTATGAAGCCATTAAAATATACTGAAAGATTAATATTTTATAACAAGGGGCAACACTGTAAACCAGCAAGCAACAAGCTGATCTAAATTATAGTGACATGAGTGTGCCTGTGCAGTATAACATATTTTACAAACTGGCAGGTATAATCCAAAATGAAAACAAAAATCAGTTTTATTTATATCGTATGTTTGAATGCATTTGTTTCATTCTTTCTTTCTTTCTTTCTTTATAATGAAAACACTAAACACGTTTGGTTATATGTAAGTTCCACTTTCAGACTGTAACAATATGCAGAGCAATATTTCGCATTTCATTACATTCACTTTGAGGTTATAGAGGAACATAAGCTCAGCATTCATCAAAAAAAGGATTAGACAGACAAGCCTGCCCATGATGAGTTATGTTTCACACACAGCATATCAATGATGTATTTTCCCAGTTTAACCACTGAAAGCAGTTTTATAACCATTACACCTACAAAACACCATTTATCCTTAAAGAACACATTTTTTACATTACGGATGTTATGCACACCAATCAGACAGTGTGCACAGTTACCAGCATACACAGAAGAGACCATAAATAACATGTGTCAAATATGTGCAAATCATTTTTTTTAAATATTTGTATAAAGTGTATAGAGTTAGAATGTGAACAAAAACAGAATTGAAGATGCTGCACTTGTACTTCTTTATTAAACTGTAAAACTACAATTTTAAAACTACAATTTTCTGCTGAAATGGGAGCTCTTTGGGGAACTTCTTATGAAAGACGTCTTTGTTTTTTCAGCTAAAAATGCCATGTCTGCCCATGACCCAACATCTGAGAAATATTTGCACAGCACCTGAAGACAGTTTCTTATGCTAGTAGTGTACTGCCATCCAGATGTGATCAAACTATATCCATACCAAATGTTCATGAGGCAAAAAATCTGTGTTAACAATAGCACGAAACAATAGCACGGCCTGCTGTTACTCACTATTGACTGATTTCTTTGTGTGCCTCTGCTGTGAAGGCGCACCATTTGTTTTCCTTTTGTATTCTGGCAAAGTAACTGTGGGAGCATTTTGCTACAGTGCCTGCTGTAACCATGGCAATTGTAAGGATAGCAGCATTAATTATGGAGACCAATTAAGATTTTTTCAGTCTTTTTTTTCAATTCATGAATAATATGGGGGATCTATTACAATCTTAGATTCTCATTTCAAGCAAGGTTTGAAATAATGATTTCTGCATATGTATAAAGGAATCCCTGAGAACCAAAGGCTTGGGTCTCATATACCTCTAAACACTCAGCTGCAGTTACTTTCTTTTAAACTCTTGAATCTTTTTAATGTCACAAAGATGTTCTTTAATATAATTATAATAAGCCTCACTTATCCGTTTTTCAACTCTTTTGTTTTCAAGTGGCAGCCACTTAGAAAAAAGCTGGTTTAAGGAGATAAAAAAGATTATTCTCTCGCCATTTAACTTCATTCTATCTTTGTACATGAACAAAGAGGCCAAACCAAGGCCAAGTAAAGGATAAATAAGGATTAATACTCTCTATTCTAAGGATGATTCATGCTCTCCCACCCTCATCTATGGCCAATAACCAAAATAATGAGATTGAAGCAGATATTAGCTTTCAAGTCGCAGTTTTTAGCTTTCCCAGACAAAATGCTGAGCTCTCCTTTAGAGACATGTTGAGGACCTTGGTCATTTGGGAGGGACTCAGAGTAGAGCTGGTACTCCTCCACATTGGAAATAGTCAGCTGAGGTGGTCATGGCAGCTGACTAGGATGCCTCCTGGACAACTGTCCAACTGGGAGAAGCCCCCATGGTAGACCCAGAACCCAGTGGACAGAATATGTCTCTCAGCTGACTTGAGAAAGCCTCAGTGCCCCAGCCCAGGAGGTGGCTGAGGAAATGAACATTTGAGTATCTCTGCTTAGACTGCTACCCCTGCATCCCAGACTATGGATGGATAGATGGATGGACTCTCTACTGCAGTTGTCCAAGAACAAAAATAATGAGCAGGAAGCAGGAATCATAGGTGCTCTTGAGATGTTGTAGAGACGTTTCCAAGTCTTGAGTCATTTTAAAGTCTCTGCTTATATCATACTTTGCCATATACACCATAACACCATAGACACCATAACACCATAAGACATATCTAGATTTACAAGGAATTAAAGTAGTCTAAATTCATCTAGAACAAGTTAAAGAAACCTCTTTGTTTGTGAAACGGGGCAGTCACTGCATATTGTCAAAGTCTGCCTAAATCTTGGACACCCTTTTCAGGTCCTCCGTGATCACGTCTTGTTCTTTGATGTCATTTTTACCAGACAAGCACTCTTCCTCCTGACTTGAGCTCTTCTTATTTTCCACTAACCCCGATCCAACTCCAGAGCCTGATCTGCTGGGGGCGACAGGTCGTAAGGGGACCACAGCATTTCCTCTGATCCGATGGGAGTAAGTTCTCTGGCGCAGAATGTCAGCAGAGCACAGCTGGAATTTGAATGCTGCCTGGAAGCCTCTGCGGAAGTTCTCATTGAAGAATCCGTAGATGATGGGGTTGATGCTGCTGTTTGAGAAAGCCAGCCAATGAGCTAAGGGATACATGTAAATATTAATGACACGATACTGATGCTGTGTCAGGCTGATGTAGTCGCTCAGCATCATCAGGGTCCACAGAGGCAGCCAGGATACGATGAAGAGCAGAGCCACAACGAGCAGCATCATAATGACTCGCTTCTTCTTCCTTGTGATTGTCTGACGACCTTCCATGCTTGACTTGTTTTTGCCACTGCCTTCTAGAGACTCACTCCCACTGCCCCTAACAGGTGAGATAGTGGTCTTGAAGAGCGTGTAACCAATGCGAGCGTACATGATTACAATGAGGCTAAGAGGAGCAAGGTAGATGTTAGCAAAGAGGACAGTAGTGTAGATTTTCCGCATTTCCTGATTGGGCCAATTTTCGCGACACCAGTAGAAGGGACGGGTGTCGTTGTTGCTGCCGAGGACTATTCGCACCCTCTGCTCTTTTGTGACCTGGAGCATGATGCCTGAAGGACACATTATAGCCACAGCCAGGACCCAAATGATGACAATTATTAGTTTTGAGGTGGCAATGGTCAGCTTCTGCTTGAAAGGGTAAACAATGCAGCGGAACCTGATAGAAAAGGGGATTAAAGAAGATGTATAAAGGAAGTAAATCTTTCAGAGTAAAACAGACAAGTGAACAGTAATCAGAAATTACAGAAATGACAGCTCTTACCTATCAATAGCTATTGCCACCAGCGTAAACACAGATGCTGACACAGATATGCCTTGAACCATCCCACTTAGCTTACAAACTACCCGACCAAATGGCCAGCCTGCCCAAAAGAAGACAAAAGAAGATAAAATCATTGATTTATTTCATTTGATTATTCACTTGATTATTTGAACCGTCATTCACACAATGACAATGTCTTGTTTGTTTGTTTTTTTACCCTATAGCAGTTTTTATTATGATTAAATTGCCTTTATTGGTCTTCTTACTGCTAAAATTAACAACTTTATTGACCTTTCTCTATTTTAGTATAAAAAAAAAAGGTCACAAGTAAAAACATCCTGTAATGTGCTCCAATAACACTCTAGGTTAAAATTTTGAATTTCCATGTGTTTAAGTGCCTTAAAAATAGGGAAAGAGAGAACATGTCACCTGTTATGACGTTGTCCACCAGTGTGGTCGGCATGCAGAAGATGCCGACAAGCAGGTCACTGATGGCGAGGTTGAGAATAAACAGGTTGGTGACTGTGCGCATGTTTTTGCTGCGCAGCACAATGAAACACACCACCCCGTTGCCCACCATGCACACCAGGAAGATAAGCAGATAGGACACAGTGAAGACTGCAGCCACTGAGGGCTTGTGGAGGTAGAAATCAACATAAGTGATGTTTTGGAGGGTCAAAGGATTTTTGTGCACTCCTGAGGAGTTGGAGATGGAGTTCAGGCCCTCCCATGAGGTCGTGTTTAGAAAATTCAGGGTCATGGTGATATCTGGATGTAAGAGAGAGAGGAATAGAGTCAGGCAGTACTGTAATCTGTTAAGGGATTGGCCATTTCCAACAGCTTTTCTAAACAAAGTCAACTAATCATGAGCCAGATCAACATGGTCCTCCCGATGGGAAGGCAATCCTGATTACCAGGAGAAGAAATCAACTGGTAATAACATAGACCAATAGAACCTCACCGGTAATCAATAAACCAATTCTTGGGTCAGTACAAGTGGCTTCATTCAGTGGATGCTCACACTGACTGATTAAAAGTCATCTGTTCTGGGAGCAGTGGGAATCACTACCTGCTGGCCTGTGGATTGTTAGCGCAGTTACTGTAAGACAGCAGTCTGGGAAGGTTACCTGTATTCTGATCTTTTTTTAAAATTCTCCAAAGCTATGCTCATATTTCTCCCAAGACTTCGATGTTGAACTCAGTTACTCAGCTATTTTTAATAAACTGTTAATTCAAACTGTGTCCTCGTGTCATGGATTAAAAATCGAATGCATAGGTGTTTTAACCTCCTGAGGCCCCCTGAGGCCACCCTCTTATTGGAGCATCACATTTTGGCTTTTCCGCTTTTCCGTATTTTCCATTTTGAAAAAACACTGTTTAAAGGTGATACTTAGTTTTCAGACTTGTATTCCAAGCAAGAGCTTGCTTCTCAGGAGATTAATCGAACACATCATTACACATTGTAGTTTTTTTTCTTTTAATTTTTATAGAATCAGGTCAAGGCCCTGTCATCCAGACTATTTAAACAAAGATGAAGTAAGCACTGTTATTTTTTCTAATAGAGAACAAGACATCGTTATGTTTAGATAAAGATAAATATCTATCACAATAAAAGCTCAGAAGCTGTTAAAAGTAGCTTGTTTGTGCTCATGTACATATTTAAAATGCAAAAATTTATTTTACACATTTTTTTTTAGTTTTTTATATTATATTATATTAAATTAGTTTAGCAGATCCATAATTGAACTACAACTCTGTCCCTGATAAATAAGCCAGAACTGATAAAAACTAATATACTGGGAAAGACTTACTTACTTTTCTAAAACCCTACCAAATCACTTTGGTAGACCCTTGCATTCTTACCTTAAACAGCTGATTTTTTTACTCCCCTTTTTCTGCTGCTACAAGTGGTTAAAATCCATTTGACAGAAATTTCACTCAGAGCAACAAGCTGCACACTGAGACCCCTTGCATCCCCTCAGCCTGCACAGGCAGAGACTGCTGTAGCACTTATAAATGACACAGACAAGATTCGCTTGGGAGGGATAGATTGGGTGTTGCAGGGGCTGGGAGCAATACATGTCCCTGGGCGTTGTGTGAACTCATCACAACAGATGTCACACTAATCAAGGACTCCTTGCAAGTGAGGGCCAACGGTGGCCATCAGAACAGACAGCTGATTTTTGGGTTTTTTCGCACATTAATCTGATAAACAGGTGCTGATTAAAGTGATCGCTTGTCTTGGATCAGCCTTGGATTTAACTAAGTCTGGCATTAGTCAAATCTTACTTTTTGCAACTCACCCTTCACACTCACATTGCATAAGTGGAGAAAATGTGAAGTCTAAGTGATGAAAGTCTGTGCAACTGCATTAGATTTAACTGAAGTCAAAGTCAACTTTATTGTCAGTTTGGCAATAGGTGGACATACACAGAAGGAGGGGGAAAACACTGTAAAGAGAATTCATGATTAATGGGGAAATGTGCCTTGAAGGTAACTAATAAGGGAAAATACATCAACTGTAGAGAAACAAGGAAGAGGGATTTAAAAGTCATCAGTATCTGATTAATGCAAGATCGAGAGATGAGGAAGAAAGTGTGTGAGGAGTGATTGTACAAAGCGATACCTGATCAGGGTGCAGAAAGTTTTTGTGCTTCGCGAGTGGAATGTTGAGTAGAAATCGAGATAGAAGGGAGGAAGCCAGCTAATGTTTTTGCCTCGCAAAATAGTTACTGTGAGTGTTAGAAAAACACTTCAGGCATTACCTGCAGTTGCTTCAGGTTGTATAATTAACATGTTAAAATGATTATATCTCAAATCTCTATGGACTCTGACCACAGAAAGAAGTCAGAGGGGGGAAATTGTTATGGCCGGGCAGACTGGCTTCTTTTTTGCCTTTAGTTTTCGCTTTCTCAAAAGTCCACAGCCATAGTGTTGCTTTACATGAAGTTGTTAAAATGTCATAGTATGTCTAAGAATAGTGGCAAATTGTAAACCTTGTGAAAAATGTGAGAATAATAGAACATATGCTTAATCCGAAACAATACGCCTCTTTGTCCTCAGGTGTAAACCCATGGAAGAAATGAGAGGGCAAGACAAACGTCTGCATAATCTCATCTGAAGCTAATCTCACAGGAAAATATGGGATGATTTGAAAATTGTACTCAACTAAACATAAAGGACTAAAATATTTCTTATGTGCAGTATGTACAGTCAGAAGTCACATACTCTCATCATGGGCATGAATGTCATGGTAATTTTGGGCTTTTGATGATTTCTCTGAACTGTTGTTTTTCCAGGGTGAAATGATTGCACAGCATACATTTTAAGCATAAGTTTGAATTTATTGGGGATTGTATTATAATCCACACAAGTTCAAAAGTCAGAGTATACTTACAGAGTCAAATCTTAGCAAGGTGCATCTCGACCTGATGATTTTGGTAGCCATCAACAATACTTATGGTAACATATTTGATTTTTGGGGGCAAAACTGATTGGTTTCCTGACAAAGGTTTGCTTTTAAGCATAGTCCAGAGAGTTTCAATAGGGTTTGAGTTCAGAGCATTGGGAACACCATTCTAGATGCCTGCTTTATCCATTTCAAAACCAGTTTTGATGTGTGTTTGGGATCATTCTCATGTTGGAACTACTGCCTGTGTCCAAATTTCAACCATCTGGCTGTTTGGAGGTAATGTACCAGTACTACTGGCTGCAAAACAGTCCCAGAGCACCATGTTTGGCAGCTTGTGAAGTGTTCTTAGGTTTAAAAGCGCCACATTTACTCCTTCAAACAAAGCTCTTATCATTGTGGCCAAAGAGTGCAATCTTTGTCTTCGTCTGATCATAAAACCTTTTTTCCAAAAAACATTTGGCTTGTCCACGCAGGCATCTGCAAGTTTCAGTCAGGGACTTCTTTGTTGGTCAGCACCCACTTGGTTCATGGCGAGGTAAAACTTGCTTCACTTTAAAGTAATTAAAGATGTATGCGCTACAATCATTGAAATCTCAAAACAAAAACAAAAAAACAGAAATGACACTCATAACCATGATGAGTGTATGTAAAGAAGCTTAAAACATCCATCTATGGACCGTGTATTCACCCTCAACAAAACAATGATGTTATGGCACTGCTATGTGTTCTGGACATGGCTCAAAACACATGTAAGGTGGACCTGAGCTGAGCAGAGCACATTTAGGCCAAACATTCACTTTTGTCTGCGTGCCATAAAAATTCCCGCTCGTGCTTTTACAAGCGTCCTGCGAGCCAAAGCTTTTTTCACATCGTGTTGTGCTTTATGTGATTTTCTGCTGCAAACAATTTGTTTTACTTTTCACACAGCGACGAATGCATAATTACAAAGCACTGTTGTCGTCAACAGATCACATTTGTCATGCCGCTGAACCCACACTGCACAGATAGTGCTAAGTGCCAGCATCCTGGTGCGTGCTGCTATAACACATTTAGCATCTTGTTACTTTCATAAGAAACATTCCTCAGCTCACACATAACAGTTATAATTAAATGATAAAGTGACCACAGATCAGCTCTATTAGATGTGACAATTCTAATAACAAATCAATGACTGCATTGCTTGGCAGAGTCAAAGATATTTTATTATGGAAAAAAAATAAATAACCAACAGCATGACCCTGTTGAACAGCCTATAATGCCCCCTGGGGAAAACACACTAATGGCCTCTCTCGACTGGGAAATGAAACAGTGAACAAAGTCTGGACAAGCAATCACAGGACACTGTTATGAACCTCGGAGCCAATGTCAAGGGAGAGATGAACAGCGCGCACTGAGGGCCAGCAGTTTATTATGAGCAATAAAAGCTGCTTGGGCAGTAACTGAGCAGGACATTTGTTTCTAGCTGCGGCACGAACTGTTTGCTTTCCTCAGATCAAGCTTTAACATTTTAATGAGGGAGCCGGCAATAATCTGAACAAACTGTAGATACGACGTGAACGTTCAAGAAATGTGCTGATATTATTTTGGCTAAGAAAACATTCAAACATTACGTTTCCCAAATATGGGATGAATAAGTAATTCCTATCTTCTTTTTCCTTTTTTTTTTTGAGGATCATTTACTCATAAATTCTAGTCATAAGGAATAAGAACCACATTTAGATTGCCAAAGCGGATTTTCCTAACCTGGCTGCATACTCTGAATGCTGCTGATCTTAGAAGCAGTATCTTTTACCTGCAGTAACCAAAGCAATTGGTTATAAACTCTTTCCAACACACACAGTTTTCTGACAGATGAGACTTTTCTGTGTATCTTCATGCAGCGCTGAGACAGTCTTCATCACATTTTCTATTTTGAGCTGTTGGTGTTGAACATGCTTGTGGCTTTTACAAGAGTCACTACTGCCCCCTCGTGCAAAATGCAAAAATGCAACGCTGAAATCACACCACATGGTTTTACTGAAGTTATTGTTTTAATGGTCAATGTCAAAGCGCATGCATTACACTGACCAGTTTTTACAATCTAATATTAGGTTGCCCATATTATTAGAAAAAGTCTCCTGTTATGTGAAGCAGAGGTTCAGAACACCTTCTTAGATCAGTCAGGTGATATCTCCATGACCTTTTACAGTCACACCATCATTCATGTTTGGTTGCTTGGACAACACCAGTAATATTAAGTATTATGCAACAAAACATGATGTTCTCTCCTGCACCGGTGGAGGAGGAAGTTATTACTCCCCTCCCCCCTTTTGGCAAGTAAAAGAACACAATGTCTCACAGCAATGAGCCAATTTGTTTCATTTAAGCCAACTCGAGTCCTATGATCATGGAAAATATGCAGCTTTCCTTTTTAACTTTCTTCACCCTGTGACTGAGCGCTGGCATCTATCAGATTAACACTTGTGAAGCAGACAGTGGTCACTCCAGAGAAAAAGGTAGCAACAGAGCAGAACTCTTGATGAA